CCACTTGACCCACCTATCTGCTGGGTGTAGGGCACAAACTCAGGCCGGGACGACAGGGGCGCCACGCACACCTTGACCCACCACTTGACCCACTTGACCCACCACTTGACCCACCTATCTGCTGGGTGTAGGGCACAAACTCAGGCCGGGACGACAGGGGCGCCACGCACACCTTGACCCACCACTTGACCCACTTGACCCACCACTTGACCCACCTATCTGCTGGGTGTAGGGCACAAACTCAGGCCGGGACGACAGGGGCGCCACGCACACCTTGACGGGGGCGACGAGGGACGGCAGCGCGAAGTACGTCCGCTTGTCGTCCTCAGGTCTGCACCACGCAAACAAATTAGAGGGACTTTGTCCTAATTGTCAGGATAGACATCTCGTACAGAAGGAAAAATAATGGGAAATTTGTCTTAATTGTGATGCATTCTTGTCGCTCTTTGTAATATACCTCGTATCACACAAACATATCAGGCCAACTTTGTCCTAATTCTGATGCTATTCGTCCTTATTTGTCATATACCGCGTATCACAAAGAGAAATCCTAAAAGTTTCGTCCAAATTTTCAGGATAGACATCTCATACAGATGGAGAATCAAATGGAACTTTGTCCTAATTCTGATGCAATTTTGTCGCTGTGTCATCCCGAGTATCACTCAAAGAAATGATGCGAACTTTCTCCTAATTAGGCCAACTTTGTCCTAATCGTGAAGCGATTTTGTCGTTCAATGTAATATACCTCGTATCACTAAAAAAAGTGATGGTAACTTTGTCCCAATTGTCACGATAGACATGTCATACAGAAGGAGAAATAAGGGGAGCTTTGTCCTAATTGAGATGCACTTCCTGCTCTTGTGTGGGTCATCCTGACCCAGTTTGGCCCAGAAAAAGAGCACGTGCCAGGAAGTGTGTCATAATTTGGACAACATGACCCAGAAGTGAATGATGCAGTGAAAATAATTTATCATTTATAAATTATATTTATCAAACATCTAATTATTGTAGAGACTATCATTATCATTATATTCATTATGAATGATTCATATTTTGTAGCAGTAATTATAATTGTGCCAAGTACCTATACATATATACACGCGTATAATTAACGATATGAGACCCACTTAATGCATGACCCACTTAACGCATGACCCACTTAACGCATGACCCACTTAACGCATGACCCACTTAACACATGACCCACCCAACGCATGACCCACTTAACGCATGACCCACTTAACGCATGACCCACTTAACGCATGACCCACTTAACACATGACCCACTTAACACATGACCCACTTAACGCATGACCCACTTGACACATGACCCACTTGACGCATGACCCACTTAACACATGACCCACTTAACACATGACCCACTTAA